CAACTACAAACAGATCACTTACATGCGCTCCAGCTATGAGTCAGGCAGATATACAATCGACGATCCAAAGGCCGAAACCTTCAGCCCAACAACTCCAGACTCGCAAACCCCATCTCCATGCTCCAGCCGTTTCTTGCCGTCCTCGCTGCCCCTACTCCGTCGAAACCGTGCAGCTGGATATCCCGTCGAGCCAACTAAGATAGCTTATCATAAAGGCTATCTTCGTGCCCTGCAGCAACATGCATTTCATATCATACCCTTCTCCATTGCCGGGTACCTCATCTATCTAAACACGAAAGGTCATTTCCTCGGCGAGAAACCGGGGTGGATGGAAAAGCTTCTTTTCGTGGCAAAACCCGTCGAGATAACCATGCAGTTGTCAATCACCGCAATACTTTTGGCATATGTCAATGATCAAGCGCGTTCGGGGTTCATCTCCTTTGGATGTTTGTTTGCTCCGAGTAATGTGGCAGCGATTGACTATCTGGTCTCAAGACGATTTTACTCTTCATTTCGAAAATCCGCGCTACCGTATTGGTCTACGCTTGCAACGGCCATGTTAGTAATGTATTGTATTGTTCTCGCTAATCTGGTAGGACCATCGAGTGGAACTGCAATGATCCCGAGGGAGATTAGTCGGATAGTAGGGGGAAATGGGAATTTGTCTCTTGTTGAAACGCCGTTTGTGGTGTTTCCAAACAACATTGACAAAGGCTACAAGCCACAAATGTAAGTATTTGAAGTTCATACCCTTCTCATGAAGTGGAAGTGAGGCTGACATCTTCGCCCTAGTCGTGGCGACTATCTCTGGAGCTTGAATACGATGAAGATGCCACGAGATCACGATCTCTTCAAATGGGACTTCACGGTCGCAGATGTAGCATTCTCGAGAATACTAAATCTTTCACTAGGTGTAGATGATCGTCAATTTCCCATGGCAGAAGCCTCTATGCCAAGAAGCACCTTCAACGACATTCTTCGCGTCACTGACGAGATCTCGAAAACGGCGACAGAGAACCAAACAGGCTCCGCCATCTCCAAAAGGAAGAAAGCCGAAGATCCTCGTACCTTGTTCACTCAAGCGACTATCTACCAACCCCTGGTGCAAGTACAATGTTTCAAAGAGGAATACTTCAACGCACCGGGAAACGAAACGATGATCCGCATACCGCACCCTTCTGGCGAAGGATTTACAAAATTTATTTCAATCGGAGATCTTGTAAACATTGCTTACTCCCCTGATCAGAGGTCAAACTATACCCACAAAAAGTACCTAGACCACTGGATGACTCCACCACTGGACGTAGGCTACTCAGTAGTGCAGTTCACCGCATACTCGGGAGGAGACGAGCTCGGGGCTACCATAACAGACACAGTTACTATCTCCAGTTCTAACTCCACATTCTGGTCGAACACTACACTGATTATAACCGCATGCGGCATACACGCAACGTGGCAACAAGCCCGTTACAACATGATTAGCACCCTCACTGTACCTCTAATACGGGCCTCCCCACCACCCTCAAACGCGCAAGGGAGTCAAACCCCCATCCGCATCGACCAAACTTTCGCCTCAAATATCTGGCACGCCGCGATCGGCAACGGCGAAAACGACTACGCATACCGGTACTACGAACCATTCAACCAGACGGAACTCGACGTCTCACAAACGCGACCATCCGAACAACAACACTCCGAAGCATCCAAAGAGATGATAATCGCCGCCCTTTTCGCCAACGCTCTCGCAAACATCGAACCAGAGCGCCACTCCTACCGCAAAGGAAACGACACCTGCAACGAATACCCCCACTCAACCCCCAATTACGGAGAGAAAGCCTATTGCTCCCTCGCCGAAAACGTACCCACCTCCATCTGCCCCGACTCTTTCTCCCTCACCACAGACAACTGCACGCGCATCACGGCGACCGTGTTCGAGGGCGGTTGGGGCTACGAATGGGACGGCGACGCTATAAAGCTTTCTATCCTCACACTGTGCTTCTACTGCCTCACTGTCGTGGTGTTTTGGGTCGGTATCTGTGTGCGGCCTATTACTTGTGTGGCGTGGAGGACTCCGGCGGATCTTGTGGCGTTGGCTTTGCAGTCGAGGACTCCGAGGTTTTTGGGGAATGTGGGGGTTAGGGTGGGCATGAGGGAGACGTTTGGACAGCCGGTTGGGGTGAGGGTTGGTGCGGAGGGGGGCTTGGAGTTGGTGTTTGGGAATGATCCGTTGTTGGATGGGTGTGGGTTGGGGAAGGTGGAGGCGGGGAGGATGTATTGAGGTGGTATGTGTATGTTAGCGGGTGGGGAAGGTGGAGGCGGGGAGGATGTATTGAGGTGGTATGTGTATGTTAGCGGGTGGGGAAATATTGGTGGGTGAGGTGGTGGGGTGGATCTTTCTGCTACTTCTGGTATTCCTCCGTTGTTATGTTCATTGTTATGGCAATATAACATTCATTATTCTTGAATAATATGTTTAACTCCTGTATGATTTCTTTCTCTAATCAATGTATTATCTGGTTCTATTTCCAGACTGTTGCTTGCAGCCCTTATTTGTAAACTCTTCTTTATTTACTGTCATCGTGCTTTAACGGGTAAAGCAAACCATCTTTTATCTTCACGTACTTTGTGTTATAGGTCACCCTTTCTACTGTATCTATCCAGAACAAAAACAAGGTTTGTGGAAGAACTCGATAGTAGCAATCTTCTTTACTACGATGAGAGGATGGGAACATGAGAACCCGAGCGTTGGGAAACGGAGCGAGATGGAAGACCAAGCTAATGTGATGAAAAGAAGATTGAAGAGAGATGGGGAGAGCGGATTGGAATTTGTAAGAACGGAATGATTGATTCAGCTAAGGTGATGAAGAGAAGGTTGAGGAAGATGGAGATGGAGGATTGGAATTTGTAAGAATTTGATGATTGATTCATAGAGCAAGGTGTAGGAAACAGTAAGACCGTCTGGGAACTCTGGATTCAAATTTCCTACTTCTAATATTAAGACTCTTGAAGTCGTCGCAATCTAGTTTTTCGGTATTTCTTATAGACGCCGTACCCTTAATGATATGCAGCAGTCTGTTCCCTGGAATCCTAGAGATGATGATGTGCGCTGTCAGTTCAACCAATTCTGAAAAACCTCTGTTGGCATGATCAACGATCGGCAGCCTAGTTGAATCATTCCCTTTCCACTTCATAAGGAAAAGCTTTGGTTTGCCTTGTCCGCCAATGAAGGGGCTAGGATAATCCCAAAAAGCGACGATTGAATTCCAACTACATTGCCCTGTTCATGAGACACACAAATGCATCGCCAACGTCGGCCGAGAGTCTTTTTTGTCCGTTAAAACCTGTTGTTAAGCCCGGTCATGTCCGGGACGCATCTGAACATCGAGGTATATTTGAACGCATCGTGCCAGTTGATTGTAGATAGAGAATCCAACAACCCAGTATGGAAAGCAAAATGACTGCCGGTGCCGATTTCGGCTTCGAGACCAATGGCGATGAAGTTGTTGCTACATTCGGACACTTCATCACAGACAAGACAGGTAAATCCTGAGGTTGCAGGTTTTTGAATTGACCATGCTGACAATGCGACTAGTTCTCATAACTGGAGGCAGTGTGAAGGGATTAGGCGCCAGTGCTGCTATTGCCCTCGCAGCAAAAAGCCCTGCACACATCATTCTTACGGCTCGCTCTGAAGGGAAGATCCCGCCCGTGTTTGAGGAGATAAAGAAGAAGAGCCCATCAACGAAAACTACATTCATCCCCGTCAAGCTGAACGACTTCAAAGACGTCCGTCGCGCCGCTGCTGATATCAATGCCGGCGTGGAAAAGATCGACGTGCTGATCAACAATGCTGGTGTCATGGCTATCCCGTACGAGCGCATTGAGGGCACCATTCTTGAGATGACCTTCGCTACCAATCACCTTGGACCTTTCCTGCTGACTGGTCTCTTGATGGACAAAGTTCTTACCGCAGCGTCAGGCTCCCGCATCGTCAACGTGTCTAGCTCTTGTCATAGATTCAGATACATGCGCTACGACTACAACTTCTCCGATGGCAAAACATACGACCCTTGGCTTGCATACGGACAGTCAAAGACGACCAACATCTTGCATGTAAACTCGCTTTCAAAGTACTGCGGGCCTGCTGGAGTGACAGCCGTTTCGGTGCATCCTGGAGGTATTTACAACACCAGCTTGACTAGTCATTTGAATGAGGAGACGTTGAATGCATGCTTCGCCGCTGCAGAATCGTGGGGAGGTAAACACGTTTTCGATCCACCCAAAACTCATCAACAGGGCATTGCTACTATGTTGGTAGCATCACTTATCCCTGAGATTCCAAAGTACAATGGATGTTACATAAAGGATTGTCAAGTGACGGGGCCGGTGCCGCACGCTAGATCGGAGGAGGATGTTGAAAGACTGTAAAAGCTAAGCGAGGAGTTGGTCGGGCAGAAGCTTCTAGCGCTAGGTTTAGGTATCGTTGTAAAGTAGAGTATAATGCATGCGATATCAATGCACGTCTCGCGGAGGGGTTATACTAGCCTGATGTAAATGGCGGCATCTCGCGAAACGCTATTTAGAGAATTGTCTCTAGATCATCTCCTATATTTCCTTACTATAATCTAGGCACCTTAAATTTCTTGAGCTTATTAGGTAGTCAATTATCGAACTAGAATTATACCTCACAGCAGCGAATTTTGTCCGACTCCGTCTGATAATAGCCTTGGTGGGGCACAAATTGCGCATCGAAAACACCTATGGGACGTTTTTAAGAGGAAAACCAAAGAAAAGAGGTTCTGGAACAATACATATAATGCGGCCACTCTGCCGTCGTTGTGTTATAGGTTTGTTAGAACTGACAATGAGAACCCAGAGGCCCCTATGAAGGGTATTATGCACACAAATGGATTGAAGCCCAGCGTTGATGTTATTGACGATATTCGGTTCGACGTCTATATAAGTTGTCTAAATCCTAAAATCTTATCAAAAACACTACCGGGCTGGTAGTTCAGTGGTAGAATATCACAACGGCCGACAAGTCTTTCGAGACTAACAAATACGTACGTATTGGTCTGCCCATACTAACCACTCCCCTTCTAGGTGGTCGGTCGTTGTGAAGACTCAGGTTCGAATCCTGATCAGCCCTCAATTTCTTTTTTTGGTTTTATTTTTGCTTCTTCTCTCCTTTCCCGGTTGAGACGGGTTGAGACGGAAGTTCAGATCTTCTTTGATAAGAGGGGCATACATACGCCGTTGTATAGAGTTATATTACTGCTATATCTCCTAGATTAGATTATTATAAATCTTAATCTAGTCTTGTTTAACAGTAGATGTTAAAGTACATGTTATTGTCTCTAGCCACGAAAGTTCACGAACTCTTTTAGATTGTTAATACTAATATTGCAACGCAGTAACACAGGGCATGCGTATCTAGCGAGAACGACGTAGCAGCTATGCTATCTGTAAGACAATGGTAACACTAACACGTTAAATAAATGCGTTGTCGCTACCTATCTCTTGTCTTAGAGTAAATATTATAAGACAGATGTCTAGGATGCTAATATTGTTACCTAAAATTAACTAATAACTCTACTAGTTAATAACGCATCTTACAACGATCTACGAAAAAAGGCACTGTGCTCTTAGACTAGAAAAGCACTATAAGTAATTCTATCAAGGTGCATAGAAAAGGACAAGAAATTTATATCACTATGTAGACGATTGTAAACCTCGTAGAGAAAACATGCAAAACATCAGCATTGAAGACAAGATTTTTGCTCTGGCGAACTTGATAAGCAGGGATAGCCAGCTACAAGACACTGTTGAATTCGCAGACGCAGATTGGTATATTCTACCCGAACTATTAGATTCGAAGAATGACATTGGCGAGAACGAAGCGCTACAAGAACCTAAGCGGCTCATGAAAACCTTCCTGAATAGACTTGCTGAGCTCTTTGCGAGGAATAGAGTAGGAAACGAAAGAACAGAGAAGGAAGGGGATTACAACGACGATGGCCTATTCATTGAGAAAGACTCATCTAGTTATCACGTTTCAGCCGCGATCTTTGTCTGGAACATCGTACCGTAAATTTATATTGCGAAGAATAAAGGATGCGATAAGGAAGACATAGAGATGGCAAAGCGCCTAGGATCATGGCTACGCAAAGTTGCGACGACTAGATCAAATCCGAATATCGACGACGATGACTTTTGGAAGCACATGGTGCAATTCTCCCTGCCTGGAATAGATGGCTATATCAGACAAATCGACGAATATGATGGCGAGGCGCTATTCGAGGATCTGCCCTGCTCTGAAAACATAAGTAAAGTCCGCAGTCTCTGCCACTGGTGCACAACTGGTGACGCGATCGACCTGCAATCTGAAATTATTCACGAATCCTTTCGGATTCGGTACATGGACTTACAGTCTATGTTAAGGAGGGAAATGACGGTAAAGGAACGAAAACTGTTATCCTTGATACGTCTCTTAGGCCTCTATCGTGCAGCGTATATGCGCTTCTGGAGTATAGCGCAGAAGTGCTGGCATACCGTATGTACTACACAAGAAGACGATTAAATGCCTAGAATGTTAACCTTGTCTCGCAAGATGTGGTCACAGAATGCTACTACACACAAATGCAGGAAGACGAGGCTTTGAAAGAGCTTGATTCTGTATCAAACGCGGAATAACTATACTGTAATTAACAATTCTCTAGATAGTCAATGCAATGCCTGAATTTCACTAGTAATCTTTCATATACAATAAGCACATCAAAGTGTGATGTTTAATTATCAATGAACTGTGCTTTACCAGAGAGCAACTTGAACTATACATGTTTTAAAGAATTATTCTCAAGTACAATACGATCTGTATCCAAGCAACAACAATCAATAATTAACCTCACATGAACATCTCCAAAGCACTGCACCATTTCATCATTCATCCCCCAAAGCCTTTTACTTACCCGAAAAAGAACTAGCTTTGGCATTTCATCAGCATTACAACCACGTGAGCACCTCATATCCATCACTAAAACACTACTAATCCCAGCCAACCAACCCACCACGGCACACTCTTGAACACCGAACACGATTCCATAACAGGAGAATAAAGGCAGGCACATACAGTAAACACTCAACGCTAAACACGACAATAGCCTACTACTTACAACCTCCTGAACACTGAACACGATAAATCGATCGATGAACTATCATCTCCATAGCACCAGTACTTACTAACCAATAACAAATCTTCGCGACCCGCGATCAGAAGTTCATGGGATATCATTAGAAACGCCACCCTTCCCTTCTCCCCCACCATTTACAACAGCCCCACACAGACACAGAAGGCACAAGATACAGAAGAAGGAAAAAAGGAAGGGAATGAAAGTGGCGCACACATCCCACCCTCCCAACGCCATAAACCCGAATCATGATTTCGGGGCGAGCATGTATCATTTATACCCATCGATCTAAAGCCCCTAGAAAAGGCCGTAAAACCCAACACCACTAACAAGGGGGGAATAAAATAGCCCAAATCGCAAATCGCACATGCCTCACCAAAAAAAAAAACCAAGGGCGAGGAGTTAATTCATGCCCAAAAACTTCCACCCACCGACACCGCCATCCACATCATCATGACCCACCCCCCGAATGCGAATCCTTCATAACCCGTTGGCCCTCCCCCTCTTTCACCTCTTTCACCTCACCCTCCACCACTTTCACCTCCTCCACCTTCCCCTTCACCAACGCCTCCTCTTTATCCCTCGGAATACGTTTCCAACCCGTTTTCAAGCGCTTCTTACTAGCATCAAAGCGCGGGAGGGGATGCGCTTCAGTATTGAGCACGATCTGGTCGAGCGGCAAAAGGTCGTTAGGGGAGAAGAGGAGGTAGAAGTATTTCAGAGTTTCGGCCTATTAGTATCAGGGTGGATTAGCAAACACTCCTTTTCGTAGAAACCAGAACAGGGGTAAAACAAAGAGAAAAAAGGGTAGTGGTAGTACTCACCAACCAAAAACTCTCCATATTATCCCTGCCAGGCGGAGGTATCACAGTGACATCCCCTACACTAGTGAATCCGCCCCCGTTCTCTACCATCGTATGCTTAACAAACGCTTCGAACATTTCCCACCCCCACTCCCTATAAATATCGTCTCCGGTGATACGCCAAAGGTAAAACAGGGATTCGACCGTCTCCGGTCGTTGGAGGTTATGCGCATCAGCGGGTTTAATAATAAAGTCATCTTTCCACTCGGCGTTCTCGGTAGCCTCCATATTGGTTTTAGAGTGCAAGATCTCGCGGTTATACATCTTGGGTGGGTCGTCGAGTTCAAAGTGGGCGATTTCCGGGGCCAAGCCGGTGGCGGTGGAGCGGTACATGCCCATGCATGTTTTTGTGAGTTCGCGCGCGAGGAGCATGTCTTCCTCTTGCTGCCGGTTCCAGGAGGGCGATTTGCGGGCTTCGGCGACGGTGAGACCGCCTGTTACGGCCAGGGCGATGGTGCCTGGCATGAAGCAGACTAGATGGTCGACTTTGGGATGCAGTTTGCCTTGGAGACCGTTGGGGCGTTCGCCCAATACCGTGAACTGCGATCCCTTGGAGTAGGTCAGGAGATGTTTCTTCACGCCCGCAAGCGCTTCGTTCCACATATCTTGATAAATCGGCTCCTGCTTTTGCGTCTGCAGATACTGCTTGATCAAGTACTCATAATACGAGTCGCCGCGGCTACCCAATCTGATCTCTTCGCCGCGGAAGGTTCCCTTGTCGGCATAGATGAAAATCGGGACGAGGCCATCCTTGACATTGTTGTCGTCAATGATCTGCATCACCTTCTCGGCCTTTTCCCAGTAATTTGTTTCGCCGGTCAGGAAGGAGAGATATTTCATTTCAAGCTGTAGCGTTGCTGCTTCAGCGGTGGAGGATGCGCCACCATCCGCGTGCGAGGACTTGCCTTGGCCGGTTTTAAGGATCACACTGGCCCAGGGAATGCCGCTGGGGGATTCGTAGGCACCTGCCAACCTGTCCGCCAAATCGACCGCTTTCTCCAGGAATAGGTCTTCTTCGTTGGCGTTCTCGGGCTTGAGGCCGGGAAGCGTATCTTGCAAATAGTGTGCTGAGAGAAGGCCGCCGAGCATGCGGATCGTAGTCTCGAAAGTGTTCACGTCCTGGTCCTTGTCGTAGTTCAAGGTGGTAGAAACCCATTCGCGGGCGTGTTTGAGTTCCTTGGTCAGGTTCATGATCATCAGGGTATCGATCGCATCCACGATAATCCAACCCATGCCATTGGGTTCAGCCATATACCGGCCCGTCCGCGCAACGGGATGGTACTCGTCATATCCTGCGACCCGTCAGCATCCACCCATGTCGCCAATCCTCCCCGCAGAGGACAAAACCTACCCCAGCCATGTTCTTCATACCCCTTCCAACTAAGCAAAAACGCGTCCCTCACGGCCTCTCTTCTCTTTTCCCAGTCCGCCTTCCCTTTCCCCTTTCCTCCCAGCCCCTTCCCAGGTACGATATTCGCCCACTTCGTCCCTCCATCCACCGCCTCGCTACTCCCTCCTAACCACCCCACCCAATACAACAACCCAAACACCACGGCGACAACTAAACCAATCCGCCTCTTTCTCCCACACCACCGTCGCCCCTCTCTCATCGCGCCATGCCCGGCGGGCTTGTCTTTGTACATGGGCAGACCCTTTTCGTTCCCCGTAAACTTGCTCCACACGTTGTCCTCGAAGCGTCTCTGGGCGTCGTCGAACTTGGGCACGCGGGTTGGGATCTGGAAGGACATGTCTGCGTCTTCGATGGCCTGGGCAGCTTTCTGCACGACGGCGGCGGATTTCTTGACGGTGGACTGCGCGGCGGATTGCGCGGCCGCATGAACGATGGAGAGTGCGTGGGTCGCGCCGGGTGCTTTGCGGAGGTTGAACGGGTCGCGCGAGTACATTCCCTGTGTCGTCAATGCTCTTTCTGGCCTCCCTGAACCGCTTCAGAAGAGCCTGTGTGATGGAGATCCGAGTCCACGGTTCGGACACATCAGTCTAAGACGAATGACGCAGTTGTAGCCGCAATAGGGGGTTGACAGGTGTTCTTCACTCTACGGCGAAGCTATTCGCCTGATTGGTCGTCACGTAGAGACAGG